TTAAGGCTCAGATGATATCGTGTTTAATTAGAATGATATCTGTGTTTGCGGATGCATTTTCATCCATGTAAACCAGGTGGACTATGGAAACATCATAAACTTGGCTTTCTTTTGAAGACAAATTAACATCGAACATAAGACTGACAGTTTTTACACTAAAAATAAAGAAATGAATGTCTCAGTACAGCAAACTTCTAAATGATCAATTATTTAGTTTGGGTCAATGACAGTAAAACTTCCTTATGTTAGGCCAACAGCATTTGAATAACAATTAGAATTAACTTTCTTTTCATCAGTCGTCTTTAAAACAATTTTGATGTGAAGTGCAATTTGAGAACTACAAAAGCATAAAAAAAAAGATGATTTCAAAGTGTAATCCAAGCGAGAAATTTAAGCCTCTGTGGATCATAAGCCTGTTAACAGAGGCATACATTTCTAGCTCTGTCCACCAGAAAGTTTAGAATCCTTTCTGAGGAGAGGTGAAACGTCTTCAAGATCTTCTACCAATACAGTTGCCTTTGGATCAAGCTTTGAGTTTACCATGACCTGGATGACAACAGAGAAGATGGTGGCTTCTGGAATGTGAAAGATTTTATGCATATATTATTTCTCTTCTTCTAATCATAAAAAGAAAAGTTTGCACTGCTCAGTGGAGAATCGTACTATAACAGAGCTGAGAGAGCTTAGGTCACACTTCACTGCCTATCAATGTTGTCTATGATAATCAATAATTTAGAAAAATGTGGTTTTGGTTTCTGACGTGGATCCACAATGACTGACATTCTGACATTCCCAACATGTAAAGCATTTTACTAGACATCAAATGTGTTTATCACTTGAGTGAAAATCATCCTCTGAGTCTGAGGAGTAAAGTAAGTAAACACAAAAAGATATCCAAGGCCCTCAGTTTTTGTTACAAAAGTTAAAAAGCCTTTATTAATTCATATTAATTCAAAGTTAAAAACGAGTGGCAGACTGAAGTGTTTCAGCTCATCAGAGCCTTCATGAAGTGACAAACACATCAAGCCTGTTTTTTCCTCTCCTGATTTAACTGATGCTTTTACACAAGGTCATGTTTCTGGTTCTTATTTAGCAACAAATCTATTCAGTAAGTCAATACGATGAACTTTCTTTGACCCGGAGATTAAAACATCCAGCTGTTTGTACCCAGTGCACTTTGTGATTCTGCCCATAAAACTAATGCTGTACCTACTTTGTCTATTTATTTGGGTCTGAGGCCTGTAGAGTGGTAATACCCTCTATACCAAACTTTAAACAGGGCTTTGACCTGCTCCAGAATAGTACTTTTTAAAGCCACTCTGCCGGAGGTACACACTGTTAACTGAGCTCTAATTCATCCTGTTCGTCTAGCTTTAATTATGTTTATTCATCCCTGGGCCAGACATCCTGCAGTTTGTGCAAATTAGAGTTCGACTTTAAACCAAACCCTTCACCTGCATGCCGGTTTATTTTAGAACTTAATTATTATACTTTGGTGATTTTGTTTTCCTTGAACTGGTTCTACTTCAAGTCATGAGTGCAGTGGTAAAATACCTTCAGTTTTCAAAACAAATATTAACATTATTTTAGAACTTTATCTTGCGTTTGACCTATCTTTATACATCGTTCAACGTTTTTCTTTAAATTGTTGACTGTGTTTGGTTCTGAAAACACAATTTATATTACAGCAACCTTTTTTTTTTTTCATTGTTAGAATTACAATTCATAGCAGGAAAATGATCCACCATCATGACTTCCTGCGTCCGGGACCAGAGGGTCAGCATGAATGGAACCCCGCTCCTGCCAGCAGCAGACGTACAGCAGGGAAGCAGAGAGTCACCAGCTGTTAGAAGGCTGGTAGGGCATAAGGGGCTCTGACTTATGGAGATGAAGTTTTCTGCAAAGACAAACTAAGCTGCAGCTTGCTGTCTCCATGTAATGTGTCATCTCATAAAAAGTGCAAACGGAGTTGTTTGTTATCTTTTTTTTCTGGCTCGTCAGAACATATGTTAATTCCAGTTTGCCTCCCCGCTGAGGGGCATGGTCAAGCCGTCAAAGAGCCTTGGGTGTAGTCTGTTAACATGAGTTATATTTTATGCATTTTCCTTTTGAATTTTTAACAGTCTGTGAGTCTCTGCGCACATGCGAGTTAGACAGCAGAAAACAGAGGCAGTCAAATATGAGGGCCAAGGCTTTTCATTTACACTTTTACCTTTGATTGAAGGTCTCTCAGAAGGGATACGTGATTAAAATCTTTTGATTAATTTGTTGTAACCTTGTTTTGACTCCCTGAAGGAGGTTGGATGTCAAACCATGCAGGAGTTTGATTTACGGTCCAAATGATCATATTATTGTTTAAATGGAGAGTGCCTTGGAGTTTTTCTTTTGTTTTATGATTTCATGTGTCCAAATAAAAACACCTCAAACTGACACTTTTTGGGATCTAGGAAGAGCTCTGTTGCTGTTTTTTAATTTATTTCTTATGAACAACCTTTTCTTAATAATTAGCACGCCTATATTCATTGCAGATGACAGCAGGAACAAAAACAGCTTGCTAAGCTGTATTTTTTGAGTCATGAAGGTTGGTTCTGCATTTTATTTCACATTTTAAGAGTTTACCTTGTGTGGGTTAAACATATTTTATCTTAGGCTGGTAATTAAACATTTTTACCAACATTTAAATGATGCAAACTGTGCATGGTGAAACTGCTCTGCAGTATCTCCATCAGATTTGGCAGAGTTGTGAAAATTTGCGTTTATTAAAGAGAGAGAAAGACAGAAAAGAAAAATGGAGGGTGGGAATGATATGCTTGACATCTCCTTAATTTTCCCGGGATGACAGACACCTTAGCATTGTCTTGCATGTACACACAGCAGCAGGGTATGAAAAAAACAAAAGCACATGTCTCTGGTGGAGTTGTCGCAAGGCTTGTTCAATCTTACTTGGTCCCATTTCACAAACACTGCCTGTCATTTGTGCTTGTCTGCTCTTATATTTGATCCCTCCTTCACACAATGGAGACTGAAATGCTCAGACGCACAATTGTGTTCCTCCCCTCAGGAAGGCCTTGTGTCTCAACACGGCACCACTGACTTGCTAAATGCTTTGACATAATTATGGTATCACGGCTCAATGTAATGTCTTCATGTGTGCTGCGAGTTTTGCCCTCCCATCTAAACTCCGCGCTCAAACAGACCGCCCATTCTGTCATGTCAAGCCCTGAGTCAATAGAGCATCCTGTCAGGGTGAGTACCGCCTGCCAGCCTGTCAGACAGACCCACAAAATGCCCAACGGGAGGCAGAGTTATAGCCTCCCGTCTGGAATGATCCCCTGGTCTTAAGAGGTCAGAGAGGACACAACCGCAGCAACTCTGTGCAGGTAGTTTCAATTGTCAGTCGTGCCGCTCGCGCAAAACAAACACCAAGCACTGCATGACAGGAAAGGGTTTTGAAGAAGTGCATTCAGGGATCACAACACACTGAAGTCATCATGGTTTATGAATGGGGTTGCTTTTATTCTGGGGAAAGATGCCTGCTGAAATACTCAGTAATCTATGGGGTGTTAAAAAGACTTGGAGATGTAACTTTTTAAACTGAAGAAGTTTAAAAGACACTTAAATTACTGTATTCTATCAGAATAGACAAATGTGTTTTAGTAAGGGCTGTATTTATTTTTAGTATGGTGTCAATGTTTTATCATTCTTGTCAAGATCAAAAAAATCTAAGAGCTAGACTTTTGAAATTGTGTATCGGAGCAGGAATGGTTTTCTATTTTACCACAGTTGGAGAGAGTATCTTCTGTAATTTCGAAGGTCGTTTTACTGCGGCTTCCTGATGTGACTCTTCAGATTTTAAGAATGACTTTTAGAGCATATCACTGAATGTTAGGAATGCATTTTATTGTTCACTAAAAAAAAATTTAAATGCAGAATTTAGATCACAAGGCCAAGATAAGAAAATGGAATTTTCAGCTCAAGCAGCGGTGAAACTTGATCCGTTGATGTCTGTTTGGTAATGCTTTCTGTCTGAATTTAGATTGTACTGGATGTTGTTTTGATTAATGTCTGAATGGAGCAGGTATTGACTCTACAGTCCAAACCTGTTATTCTGAGGCTCATTTAAGTGTTTTAGAGACATTTTTTGTCTTGCAACAAAACAATGAATGAGCTGCAATTATATATGAGACATAATTCCATATAGACTAATTAGATCAGATCATTCCCAAAACAAAAAAAAGAAAAGAAAAGAAAGGTGCTTTGCCTCTGTGCACAGTCTGTCAGCACCTGTGTGTCTGATCGGACTTAAAGCTGTTTGTTTGCACTTACTGACGTTGTTTCCTCCTCTCTACTGCTTATGTTTTAATTACTCTGATGTATGTCTCTTTGGATAAAACAGCTGCTAAATGAATTGTTGAAAAGTAGAATTTTATGCCAGGCCCCCTAATGGCAGATGAAAATATTTTCAACCCCCCCCCGGCCCCTGACCATACTCAAAACATATATTGACATACATTAAACACACTGACAGTCTCGCTCTTTGATAACAGATTTCTATATTTTCAGGATTGATCTCAAACATTTGTTAGTTCAGAAAAACAACTTCAGTGTGAGACGGCAAACTGAAAAAGCTAACGAGCCAATTTAAAAGACAAAGCAATTAAAAGTGATACTGTGACATGAAACATCAACATCTTTGACGTCTGGTGTAGATTCATTTTCAGTCCTCTCACAAACCTTGCCATGTGTTTCCAGCAGTGAAAAGTGCTGTGCAATGTTTTTTTTTGTTAAGCCATGCCAGGTCCCCATGATATATCTTGCCCCCCCCCAAGGGGTCTCGCTCCCCACAGAGTTGGTTTAGCTAATTCCAAAAAAATTGTGATGCACATATTTGAAATAAAGTAATTGTATGCACTAAAAGTTTAAAATGGGTGAAACATTTCATTTGAGGGAAGACAAATAGAGTGTAGAAAACAGTGAGAGTTGGACGTTTAAGTACTGACCTGTCTGCGCAGGTCCCTGGTCTTTTTGGTCATCTTATCGATGGCTGAGTTTAGTGGGTCACCTTTCTCTTTCCTGCCAGTCTGTGAAAGGAAGCAAAACAACACAAAACAGGTTACATCAGTTGCCCTACATGCCAATAAAATGCACCAAAGAAAAGAAACACATAAGAGCAGTTATGGCACATACACAAACAATTCCATTTGTAAACATGACACCATATACGCCAAACTGTACATGTTCTAGTGGGAATCACTTAAATGTGGTGTACTAAGTGTAGAATGGCAAATATTGCACAAACACGTCTTCATGTAACATGTGTTTACATTGCAAGTGTTCCACGATTAGACAGGTGTCAGTGAAAACATGACAAACAGTTTATGTTATTTTAGCTACTAGCCGATCTGGCAAGCATTAAATTAGTTGTCGCCAATTCCCCTGTGTGACGCGCTCTCAGTCACTGCCAACTCCTACTAGTGGCTTTAGGAGAGTGTTGAATACCATGTGCTTCACCTGATACACGCAGAGTCACCGGCTGCTTCTTTACACCTGACAGCAGGGAGTTCCACTGGGAGAGCAACACAGACTCCAGATTCCCACTTCTCTCCAGTTAACACACATCCTGACCAACCAGTAGGGGTCGCTAAGGCAGATAGTAGAAGAGGAACTCTTGCTGTTTCTAATACAGAAAAGTTGCCAATTGTGTTCATTGAAATGCCAAGGAGGATGTTTCACTGTCTGCTCTACCACCCAGGCGCCACATTTACCACTTAAAAGCTCTATGTTTTTTTTTTTTGCTCAGAAGCCATGGAGAAGAGTGGGGTGATTTATACTGCTCCAGGTAGAAAATTTCAACCTTTACTATGCAACTTGGGAAAGAAGCTTCGCCTGAAGGTAAGAACATGGCTGTCAGTGTCTTTGGAGTGAACCATTTCTGCTCCAGGACGCAAATAAAAAATCCTGAACTATGAACACTCCTAACAAATAAATAGATGCACTCCTACAAAACTGTGAAGATGTAAAACACTGAATGGGGATGGTCTGATTGTTGACGATTAATTTTCACTCTTTTATCATCATAAACATCTTTTTTTATTGCAAGAATAATACAGGATTTGAAGGCTGGTTGTTAAAATTATTTAATTATTTTTATTTTTTTGGGAGGGGGGTTCAGTGTTTAAGCATTCAAATGTTAAGAATTTGCATTTTCTTTGGATGCAAATTCCTTTAAAAGTTAGTCGAAGTAAGAAAAATTAGCTAAAATAAGTGAACATCAAACAGGAAGAAGTCACAACTAGAGTTTGTGTACTTCAGATGAGCAATGTGCTACATTTACTGCAACAATCGAGAACACACGCACATCCAAACCAAAGAGTTTCTGTGACTTCTGTGAGTGATCATGTGATTGATCATGTGACTGTGTTCGGGTGTATTTAAGATGGCACTGTACAATGTCATCTCAGTCTGATGAAGAGCAGGTGTGCTCGAAACATCTCCCTGGTGAACTACATTTCTGGAATATTGGAGTCCATGTTGTGTGAGAGCCGTCTCTCTTCAACTAAATTTACTGCAAAACAGCTGACCCTCCCTCAGGTCCTGTCAATCAGCTGCTGCCTGAAGTCAAATGCCTCAACACTTCAATTAAAGGTCTAAAAATAACAATTCACTGAAGAAAGTCTGGTAACACCATCTTTTGAAACCTCAGCCATTTCTAATATACTGCTGACCCGTTTGTGTGTTCTTCTGAAGAATGTAACAAGTCAGCACAAATGGTCAATTAAAACAATGTGCTTTTTAATATATTTAGTTTGTTGTCGCTTCTTTTATCGAAACATTTTGACATTCAGAGCAAAAACTTGTTATAAGGACAATCTGATTGTAACACAGATTGATATTTTGTCAGTGTAATAAAATTAGATGGCAGTTGCCAGATCAGCATGAAGGCCAACAAAAATGAAAAAAAAGTGCTCATCAGCCTTCACAGGAAAAACAGTCACCTGGTGATGTGGATTCCTTCTCATCCCTGCCTGTCCCAAATGAGACACACTGACCACCACTGCACAACAGCAGGGCTTTAAGTAAATGGGCTATTAAGTTGTTGTCCTGTTTAATGACACACAAAATGTGGTTGCTTATCTCTGTGTTGCTGCACTATTGCCGTGCCCTCCCCACCCATCCCCCCTCCTTTTATTTAATAATTGAGTAGAACAGAACGTCTCACTGTGAACCACTAAAACGTCCACTTATAGTAAACTCGCTCAAAGGTTAACAGTGAATGTCATTTCAATGACGGACGCCATCATTATCAGGATCAACCTTAGTTCTGAAGCAGATATGTAGAGCTGCTATTGTAAACCTAATCCAACGACATTTTGACATTGACTATGAGAGATTTTTTTTTTTTTTTTAGTGATATTGGCTCCAGTGACATGTGAGCTGTAAAAAAAAAAAAGAACTTTAGCATTGACCCCTTTTTGGAAGTTAAAAACAAACTAAGCCAGCTGGTTTTTTCTTTTTTTCGCCTCTCTTACAAAAGCTGTGGTGTTCAAAGAGATGCCAACTTGAGGACAAACAGCCACAATCTTCCAGCTATTTCTTCTGTTTGGATTACTCACACTCCAAGCTGGATGTGTTGTTTCAAAGCAGAGAAAAAGCTGTAGGGAATAGACATGTGTGCAAGGTCACAGATGTAAAAAGTGTTGCTCAATGCAAAGAGCCTGTAGCCATAAAAGCAGATCTGATTTACTTTTTTTTTGTCTAATGTATTGCTGGTTTACCCTTGGCCAAGGCTCATATAGCACAGGCTTCTTTCATAAGGATGTTAACCAGCAGAAATGAGCCATTTGTCTCCTCGCTCATACTGGAGTTAGTCACACCCTCTTCTCACAGCAATCACACAATGCAGGCTTTTTTTTTTTTACTGAGCAATGCAGCAAACACATAGGGAGAACGTGAGCTATATGTTTGAGGTTAAGATCCCATAAAGCAAAGGCAAACCCACCTGAGCCTAACTCATCTACAGTGCTCTGTGTGTCTCAACATAGTCTTCAGAAAATGTCTTTAGCCCATTCATGTTTGAAGTTAGGGGAGGAGCGGGGAAATGAAGAAAGCATTCAGTACCCTTCCATTATGCGATATGCACTAACACTTGCACTCACGCTTTGATGTGCATGCTCAGACGAGCTGTATGCCAAAGCAGTGGACATGACGACATTAGTCATTGTGCTGCCTAAAGAGCCTAATGTGTCATTAAGGCACCAGAGGGATGCACAGGATTAAAGATGCACACTGCCAAAAATAAAAAGGGGGCTTAACTGGAACCTTTCTGAGGACACCTCAAACATATCCACATGGTTTTTATGTATGACAGGCAACCTTAATTGAACTCAGAGAAAGAGAGAGAGAGAGAGAAAATCAGGCTCTCCCTGACGCAAACAACTCATTTTTATTATTAATATAATGAATAAGCACACTGGAAAACAAAACTAGTGTATGCTTTTTTTTTTTTTTTTTTTTTTCTTTCCATTTTCTGGAATCGGAAACCCCAGCTGTTTCATTTCTCAAAACTCTGAACTCTTTAATCTGAGTTAAGGAGATTAAAACGGCACAGTGATGTCAGTCTACAGGGATAAAGCCCAGCACCTGTTATTCTAAACCTCTTTTGACAACTGAGCAGTACTTATGGTGGAGAACATTTCCTTTTTATTGCACTACCGCATCTCTTTGTGTACGTTTGTATCGATAAGATCAGCAACCTTTTTAAAAGTTACAGTATGTCAAGAAGGCTGAAAAAAAAGAATACGCTTGCATTCCACTGTAATTATTCTTCTGCTTGGTATGATATGTCAAACTCCTCCGACATGCAATGAGAAATACATTGCTCATCTTGAGTTTCCTGCAAAACATAAAAACTCCTAATTAAAAACGCTATGCATGAATCCCCCATCATCACAAACTTCATATACAAGGCAGGCTATGATGGTGAGTCATAGGTTAGTCAATGCATGGGGCTCATATTTAGCCCTGGTCGGTCTAAACTGCAGACTTTGATATGTGAGTGTATGTGCGTCGAAAAAGGGGGTGAGAGTAGAAGAAAAGAAGTGAGAGTGCCAAAGTGACTCCCATTACTGTGTTTTTGTTTCCGCTTTGTTTATCCGAGAAACTATTTGACTTCCCTCTATTCCCATCCAGGTGCCCCCGGTATGCGAGCGCAATTGTGCTCCAATTCACCGCCATTAAAAGCTTGACAACACACTTGTCTGTTGATTCGATTGTCTCCCATATAGTCATATTGATTGCTTAGTTTTTGACTGCCACATAATAGAATGTGCATGTTCGCCTTCTCTAGTAAACACAAGTCCCCATGGTGTTTGGCAGACAATGTTCCCAACTGTCCCCATCTATTATTTCCTCCCCCCCCTGCTGTGCACTCATTCATTCTCAGTTGGGGAGAGAAAGATGGAGGAGGTTGCCTGAAAAGAAGCATCCCATGTGTGTGTTGGGTAAGCAGCAGCAGCAGTGCTGGAGTTATTCTAGCCCACTCAGGAGACGGCTGGTGGATGGTGCATGCTGGTGGAACGGCTGAGGGGCCCTGTTCGTGTTCACTCTCTCAGGCCCTCCCGAAGTAAGCGATGTAATTCAGTGGCGCACTGCAGCGCAGACTGCTTCACTGCATTTCTGACCTTAAACCCTGTGAGAGTGGGATAAGAGGTACAGTGGTCTCCGTCCAAGATGTGAAATGTGCAAAGGGAATGTGGCACTGGTTTCAGGTAAGCTGATTTAACATCTTTTAAAAAAATGAAAAACCACTTCAATGACATCAGCAACATTGATGTTTCTCATTCATTACAGCAAAAAGTTTCTTCAGTGGAGCTGACAGTTCATTTCCCCGAGGTGTTCTTTGGTTTCTTGATCCAGACTGTCGCATACGTTTATCTTTTCTTGAGAATTTGGCGAATAAATTAATTAATTTCCTTCAACAAAGGAAAGAACAGACTTAAGAAAAAAATGCAGACAATCAATATACTTCTGAGGCATTCAAAAGAAAAAGGTGGCAGCATTCACTCATTATTTGAACTGAATTTCTTTT